TTGGTCATACCTTGTGGAATACAAATATAATGTCACTCGGGGGGTTTTTATACAAAGAGGTTCTTTTTACAGATGCGGGCAGATGGCAGCTGAAGACATTGCAGACACTGTTGGACGAAGGGATTAATTTAACCTGGTTACAATATAATCAATTACAATTGAGATGGAAAGAGGACCAAAAAACTGGTATTATGTTGCATGAGGAAGAATTGGTTAGACATATAAGAGAGAAAGGTCCAATGCATATTAAAAGGCTTTATAATGTTTTGCTAGAAAGGGATTCAGAAACTGAATTAGTTAAAGATTGTATGATTAAGTGGGCACAAAATTTTGAAGAACCAGTGATGTTGGAAACATGGGAAAAAAATTGGGTTCAGAATGTTAAATTTACACAGTCGCAGAATCTGAGGGAAAATTTTTATAAAATGTTTTATAGATGGCATTTAGATCCTAAAAAGTTGTCATGTATGTACCCTAATGTTCAGCCAAAATGTTGGAGATGTGAATGTTTGGATGCTACGTATTATCATGTTTGGTGGACCTGTAGGAAAGTTAAGGCTTTTTGGATAAAAATATGGTGGGTCATGCAGAATGTTTTGAAGAAAAAAATTCAATTTTCTCCACAATTGTTTTTATTGGGTATAGTTAAGGGTTTTACACGGGGTGAAATAAAACTAATATTGTATATGATAACAGCAGCAAGATTGTTGATAGGTAAATATTGGAAGAATGAAGTTTTGCCTACTATCGAGGAATGGACTTTGAAGATGGCCAGTTTTGCAGAGATGGCGAAGATCTCAGCATATTTAAAAGATTGTTCACAAGAGACTTATGAATGGGAATGGAAAAGGTGGATAGAATATGTTCAGAACAAATACCAAACTAGAAAGTATCAAATAGCTTTTATTTGAAAATAATGTATTAGAAATATCGTAATGTAAAGAGACAAAGAAGAAAAATTATATAGGGGGAGGGATGGGTTCAGGTTTATATATCAGTGTTATTAGTTATGAGTACATAATAGGGAAGTCTGGGGGGGAGGGTTAGGGAGGGTTAGGGAGGACGGGAAGTTTGGGGAGGGAGGTGGGGGGGTGAAAAAAAGGGGTGAAAATGTAATTGTAAAACTTTTGCAATAAAAAAAAAAAAAGAAGCCCTCTCTGGATCCGGCTATTTTGGCTAACTATCGTCCAGTCTCCAACCTTTGTTTTATTGCGAAGGTTGTTGAGAGTGTGGTGGCGTGGCAGCTGCCACAGTACCTGGATGAAGCTGTCTATCTAGATCCGCTCCAGTCTGGCTTCAGGCCTGGGCACAGCACGGAAACATCATTGGTCGCATTGGTGGATGATCTCTGGAGGGCTCGGGATAGGGGTTGCTCCTCTATCCTGGTCCTATTAGATCTCTCAGCGGCTTTTGATACCATCGACCATGGTATCATGTTGCGCCGATTGGAGGGGTTGGGGGTGGGGGGCACCGTTTTGCAGTGGTTCTCCTCCTACCTCTCTGACCGGTCGCAATCTGTGTTGACAGGGGGGCAGAGGTAGACCCCGAGGTGCCTTGTTTGTGGGGTGCCGCAAGGGTCGGTCCTCTCGCCCCTTCTGTTCAACATTTATGTAAAGCCGTTGGGTGAGATCACCTGTGGCTTTGGGGTAGAGTTCCATCAATACGCTGATGACACCCAGCTGTACATCTCCACCCCAGGCCACCCCAACAATGCCCTTGAAGTGATGTCCCAGTGCCTGGAGGCCGTGCGGACCTGGATGGGGAGAAACAGGCTCTGACTCAACCCTTCCAAGACCGAGTGGCTGTGGCTTCTGGCATCCCGATATAGCCAGCTGGTGCCATCACTGGTTATTAGGGGCAAATCACTGGCCCCCATGGAAAAGGCTCACAACTTGGATGTCCTCCTGGATGCATGGCTGTCTTTAGAAGAGCATATGATGGCCGTGGCCAGGGGGGCTTTTTATCAGGTTCGCCTGATACGCCAGTTGCGTCCCTTTCTGGATCGGGACTCCCTACGCACGGTCACTCAGGCGCTCGTCACCTCCCGCCTGGACTACTGCAATGCTCTCTACATGGGGCTCCCCCTGGGGTGCACCCGGAGGCTCCAGCTGGTCCAGAATGTGGCTGCGCAGGGGATTATGGGAGCGACGGAGCGCTCCCATATGATACCTCTCCTGCGCGAGCTGCACTGGCTCCCGGTGGTCTTCCGGGTGTGCTTCAAGGTGTTGGTGACCACCTTTAAAGCGCTCCATGGCTTAGGGCCGGGGTATCTACGAGACCGCCTTCTGCCATCAATTACCTCCCACCGGCCAGTACGCTCGCACAGAGAGGGCCTCCTCAGGGTGCCATCCGCCAGACAGTGTCAGCTGGCGACCTCCAGGGGGAGAGCCTTCTCTGTGGCAGCGCCTGCCCTCTGGAACAAACTCCCTGCAGAGATACGCACAATACCAGACCTCCGGACTTTTCGTCGGGCCCTGAAAACTTATTTATTTCACCTAGCCGGGCTGGCTTGATCCCACTGTTTCGGTTAAATTGAATTGATTTTAATTGGGTTGTTTTAAATTGTGGCCAAAAATATTTAATTATTTTTAAACTTTTTTTAAATTTTGTATGTCCTGTTTTTATTCTGGCTGTTCACTGCCCTGAGTCCCGCTGGAGAAGGGCGGTATACAAATTAAAACAAATAAATAAATAAATAAATAAATAAATAAATTATACATTGGTTGATTTAGAGGGTGAGCAGCACGGTTTCCTAGTGATGAAGACATTTACCTCCCACTCGGAAGGTTGAGAATTCAATCATAGCAGCAGGTATTTCTCTCCTAGGGTGCAAAGAAAAAATATCTGCTGTGAACTCCGCATGAGCGTCAGGAAGAGCATTTGGCCAGTAAACGCTTAGGTCCATCCAGTTGCCCCAACTCTACCCCGAAGTAAGGGATTACAGGGTCATAAAAAGGGAGTTTTAAAAGGGGGGAAAGGGGGGGAAAGGAAAGGATATGAAAAAGGGAATAGGCTTAGATTATTATTTTTTTCATGAAGATGTAGTTGAAAGTTGTGCGTTGAATGAAACAAGAACAGTATATGATGGAAGTAAGGCAAATAAACGGAATGCTTAGCAAATAATTCAATACTGAGGGAAAGAAAAGGATGTGATGCCTCCTTGGTTGTTCAAGGTATTTTGTGGATAAGCACATTAAGGTACACTTGTGGTGATGTTAGGGGTGTGTTTCTTGGGAATATGGATGTACATGCAGTTTTGTAAGCGGACGACCCTGTATTGTTAGCTGAGAACCCAAAAGATCTGTATGTCCCAAAGGTGCTTTTTCAAGAGGCAAATGAACTGTCTGGTTTTTCTTTGACGACATTTCATTTCTCATCCAAGAAGCTTCTTCAGCTCAGAGCTTGAATGAGAAGCGAAACGTCATCAAAGAAAATCCAGCTGCCTCTTGAAAAAGCATCTTTGGGACAACCATGACCTGGATGACCTGAATCACCATAGACAAAAGATATGTAGTGTAAACTGTACTGTGCAATAGAGTATGGATCTGAAAATTAATATATCAAAATCAATAGTTGTGTTATCCAGGAAGATAGCATGGACAGTTGTAAGTTATACATAAATGCCACATAACTAGAGCAAGCAGATGGTTTATTGAATTCCTGCATGGAATATTTGCTAAAAATGGGGAAATGTTTTGAGAAATTTAAGATGGCAGAAAAGTAGTGCTATGGCTCAAGAGTAAAGTGGGAGACGGAGAAAATTGTAATTGGATGGAGTTGATCAGATCCTCAGAAAGAATGAACATATTCAAGAACAAGAATCACTTTATGAACAAGAATATCTTGTAAGAAGAAAAAGAAATATAGAAGCCTACTGAATGGTAGTCATGTAAATTAAACTTAGCTGTATTTCTTCCCTTTTTTAATTCATGCCTTAAATGGCTTTGGTATATTTTTTCTTAACTTGTTTACTGTATTTGTTGTAAGATTGCTTACCCTGAAATAATTAGTCCTCTATCTGGATGAAAGATAAAATATAAGAACTTCTCCTAAAGAGGAGAAGAGAGGAAGAAGAAAAAGAAAGTGGACAAATGACCTCAATATAAATGTACCATTTTGGGGTAGCTGCAGTGAGATTTTAAACTACATATATTTAAAGTTAGAATTAATTTTCAAAATAAAGTTGGAAAAATTAGGCCTTTTCTGACCAAATAAATACAATTTTGTCACATTAGCAAACCTTGACAGATGCTCAACAAGCTAGATTTACGTTGGTTTTGGTGAGATTCCTTGATGGAACAAAAATTGGGTCCATGACAATTTATTTGGGTGAGGGCCAGGCAATTATGTAAGAGGCTGAAAGAAGGCTAGAACTTGCAGCAAATGCTCCAAGCCTTTCGGGAATAGTTGTGTTCAGTGGTTATAATGGGAAGAAGGAATAACCTTGAGAAACATGAGGGAAAAAGTCTGATTAAAAAAAAATCTGAGTCCTGGCCAGAATTATAACATGAGAAAATTTCTCAGACAACTTCTTGTCTATGGAGATTCTCAGTCATCCAGGTCATGGTTGTCCCAAAGATGCTTTTTGAAAAGGCAACTGGACTTCCTTTGTTTTTGCTTGAAGACGTTTCCGCTTCTCATCCAAGAAGCTTCTTCAGTTCAAATCTTCAATATGTAGTAACCTTCAGTTGTGAAGAAACTTCTTGAATGAGAAACAAAACGTCTTCAAGCAAAAACAAAGAAAGTCCAGTTGCCTTTTCAAAAAGCATTTTTGGGAAGACCATTTCTTGTTCTCATGAAGATAAAGGGATAGGGTGGGGAGAATTACATTCAGTATTGCATATTTTGTCCCATAACTTTATGATTAAAGTAGTATTGACATGTATACCTTGAACTTCCTAGTCTGGTCTGCTGTGAAGGGCTGACAGTGTTATACTCCCCAAATGTCCTGTTGACAAATGTCAAACTTTGGTTGAAATCTCATTTGTGTCACCTTGCAGGGTCACGGGCGGTGAGCTCTTCGAAGACATTGTTGCCAGAGAATACTACAGTGAAGCTGATGCAAGGTGAGTGGTAACTCCACATCCACTTGTCCCCCCTCCATCCTTCTCCCTCCTCCAGCCCCACCTTCTCTCTCTGTTCCCAGATCCCATTCCAGCTTGAACTTGTGAAATATGAACCCATCTGTGATCAGGGAGGTGAAGGGGGGGTGGGTGTTGGAGCACATGGTTGTATTCAAAAGATTTCACGATTGCAGTGACATTCTCACATCCTTTGGCACCAGTGGTTGCCATAATGTGCCCCATTGCCTCATACTATGCCAGCCAATCCTCCCATACACTCTTGGACTCCTGCACTTGATTACATAGCAGAGGGCGGGGGTCCCGTTCACCTTACAGTTGTGATGAAGATAGAATTTATGTGAGGCATTGCAGGGTGAGAAGAGATATACCTATCCTGGTTTCTTCATGTGCCTCCCCCACCCTCCAATTTATATAAGATGCAAGCACTGTCAGTACATCTGATCATTTAAGGATACTCTCTTTCCCAAATGCACTTTCATCAGACCAGGTCACTCCCCAGCTACCAGCTCCGTTCTTTGCTAAAGGAAGTGTGACAGGTGAGAGAAGTTTGATTGAGGTGGCTGGAGTGTGCTCCCACTACTATAAACAAGGCTTAATCTGTGGTTGAGTATCTCAAGTACAAATGGGGTCTTAGCCTTCTTAAAAGGAAGTTGTTGTTAGTGCTTTCACACTTTAACTTTCTCATCCTACTTCAACCGTAGAGAGATTTTTATTGCTCTAGGCTAATTTGGAGATTGTATCATCTCTTTTGCAGATGTAGTCTAACCAGGATAGTTGGGATAAGAACTGGAGGTGTGCAAGGATGCAGGAATATTGGCAGTAAGGAATAAAAAATTGGATGGGACAGAACAGTTTCAACTTTTGCCCAGTTGCTGGGCAAAGTATCTGTCATTAGTAAAGAGCTTCAAGAGTTGATGCATCAAGGCCACCAAATTACAAAACAGAGTTACATTTGAGAAGTGTTCATAGCTACAATACAATGACAGCTGGGTGTCTGAAGTTTGTCAACCTAGATTGGAAGGAGTTCCAGCCTTTGGAGTGGTGTAGAGCAGCAAAGGCGGAGGAGATAGCGGGAGGTACCAAAGAGACATCAAGAAATTCAGATATCAATTTAAAGTTTTCATAACTTTAACTCTCGCCGGAAGGAGAGACCAAGCACTACTATGGGGGAGCTGAGGGACTTTTATACCCAACGGAGGAGACGGAACATCATCCCTGGTGTAACCATCTCTAGGGAGACTAACCATTGTGAGAGGATGGTTTGGATATGGCTCTCCGTTGGGTGAAAGAAAAACATCAAAGGACATTGGACCTTCTCCCTGTCGTGAGAGGACAGTGGAGTCCAGCTCTACGATGGACATTTGTGATCTGTGCATGGTTATCTCTCTGGACTATGGAGGAACCCCGAACTGGCCCTCCTTTCCCGTCCTTGGTTCGGATGATGCTTTTAAAAGCTGACCTTCTAGCGCTGCGAGACTCCCCCCTCTCGCAGGCCTGGCCCTCCACATTATCGAGGGCCTATCTTGATGACGGGCTTTGGAACCCCGAGAGATGGCATGCAGCGAAGAGGGAGTTGAGGGGTTTTTTATTGGGATTTTTAAGGAAAATTTTAAGGGGACCCGGGAGGAGGGGAGGGGGTTGTAGAGATGGACCTGGGGGGTTCATATAGCCACTGGGTGGGATGATGGGTCGCTTGGGCGCAGCAGAGGGATCACGGAAGGAAATTTGTCTGGGGAAAAACAAGGTGTTGGGAAGGGCAGTGCAATTGAAATAGTGAGTGGGAGGGGCAGATACGATGGGCGCAGGGGACCATATCATGTTTCAGGGGTGCGCATACGCTGTCTACGAGTGATTGTGCACTCCGGCCCCCAATGCGCGACTCGGGTCCTGGGTTGCACAGAGCCTCATGCCCTGGGTCCGCGGCTGATGTTATGTAATGCCAGGTCTGTTGTTAACAAAGCCCCCCTCATTTGTGATCTTATTTTGGAGGGGGTGCAGACCTGGCAGGTATTACGGAGACCTGGTTGGGCCATGAGGGGGGGGTTCCCCTCATTGAGATGTGCCCACCAGGTTTCTGTGCATTTCACCAGCCAAGGGCCCAGGGGAGGGGTGAGGGAGTGGCGGCGATTATTAGGGAAAGTCTTAGTCCGAGGGAGACCACTGTTCCTCAGATAGCAATTCCAGATAGCATGATAAAGTCGCTCGGATTCGGGAACGCTTGGACTCCGACTGGGTGAGTCCAGGGGAGGAGACGAGGGTAGGTCTTGAGAATATTATCTGGGAGGAGTTTGATCCTGTGGCTCCCGAGGATGTGGACAGGGTTCTGGGTAGGATTAGTGCCGCCACATGTTTATTGGACTTGTGTCCCTCCTGGTTGGTACTGGCCTCCCGGGAGGTTACACGAGGCTGGCTCCAGGGGATTATAAGTGCTTCTCTGAGTGAGGGTGCCTTTCCCGCTCCTTGAAAGAGGCGGTGGTGAGGCCCCTCCTCAAGAAGCCTTCCCTGGACCCGACTGAATTAACCAACTACCGTCCAGTCTCCAACCTTCGTTTTGTGGCGAAGGTTGTCGAGAGTGTGGTGGCACGACAACTGCCCGGGCACCTGGATGAAGCTATCTAACTGGACCCGTACCAGTCGGGCTTCAGGCAGGGGTACAGCACAGAAACGGCATTGGTCGCGTTGGTGGATGATCTCTGGAGGGCTCGGGACAGGGGTTGCTCCTCTGTCCTGGTCCTGTTAGATCTCTCAGCGGCTTTTGATACCATCGACCATGGTATCATGCTGCAGCGGTTGAGGGGGTTAGGAATAGGGGGAACCGTTTTGCGGTCGTTCTCCTCCTTCCTCTCTGACCACTCGCAGTTCGTGTTGACAGGGGGGCAGAGGTCGACTTCGAGGCGCCTTGCATGGGGAGTGCCGCAGGGGTCGGTCCTCTCGCCCCTTCTGTTCAACATTTATGTGAAGCCGCTGGGTGAGATCATCCGTGGTTTGGGGGTGAGAGTCCATCTGTACGCTGATGATACTCAGCTGTACATCTCCACCCCAGACCACCCCAACGATGCCCTTGATGTGATGTCTCGCTGCCTGGAGGCCGTGCGGGTCTGGATGGGGAGGAACAGGCTCAGACTCAACCCCTCCAAGACCGAGTGGCTGTGGTTCCCGGCATCGCGATATAGTCAGCTGGTGCCATCGCTGACTATTGGGGGTGAATCTTTACCCCCCACAGAGAGGGCCTGCAATCTGGGCGTCCTCCTGGACGCACGGCTGTCTTTAGAAGAACATATGACGGCCGTGGCCAGGGGGGCTTTTTATCAGGTTCGCCTGATCCGCCAGTTGCGGCCCTTTCTGGACCGCGACGCCTTGCGCACAGTCACTCATGCCCTTGTCACCTCCCGACTGGACTACTGCAATGCTCTCTACATGGGGCTCCCCTTGAAAAGCACTCAGAGGCTCCAACTGGTCCAGAATGTGGCCGCGCGGGTGGTTATGGGCGCAATTCGTTGTGCCCACGTGACACCCCTCCTGCGTGAGCTGCACTGGCTCCCAGTGGTCTTCCGGGTGCGATTAAAGGTGTTGGTTACCACCTTTAAAGCGCTCCATGGCATTGGACCTGGATACCTTCGAGACCGTCTTCTGCCACCAGTAGCCTCCCACCAGCTAGTTCGCTCCCACAGAGAGGGTCTCCTCAGGGTGCCATCGGCCAAATTATGTCGGCTGGCGACACCCAGGGGGAAGGCCTTCTCTGTGGGAGCCCCTGCTCTTTGGAATGATCTGCCCCCAGAAATTCGTAAAATCTCTGATCTCCGTGTGTTTTGCTGTGCCCTCAAAACCATGTTGTTCCGCCAGGCTGGGCTATCAATGTAAAGATTTTAATTGGTTTTAAATGGGATTTTAAATTTGGGGTTTTACAAATTGGGCCTATTATTTAATAATTTTAATTATTTTTAAATTTTGTCTGTCTTTGTGTTTTTAATTAGGCTGTACACCGCCCTGAGTCCTTCGGGAGAAGGGCGGTATAGAAATAAAATTAATAAATAAATAATAAATAAATAACGAGATTGTTGACCAAGGCATGAACGTGAAGAAATACATTGTGAAATTATATCTGTTTGAATTAAGAAACCTGGTTGCCCATAGCCATTTCCCAAGTTTTCCAGACATTTAGCAATGAAGACATTCTAAGAGAGGGAAGCCATAGCAATCCCAAAGTTTAGAATCTGGTGTAATTCTTCCCACACAATTCAGTTTTTCTACATTGTTCCTTTCCTATCTTGTTCCTCCAGTGCTTCAGTGATGAGAGAAATAACCACAGGAGTGCAGAATAATTCTACCATAAATTCCAGCCTGGTGTTTTTAATATTTTATGCTCCTTAGAACAGCAATCCCTGTTTTTTTGTACTCTGTAAAAGATCAGGGACAATGATAGTCTGGTATAGATAATGAAAATAATATCTTGTGTTTTGTTTAAGCACCTTTGATTTGATGGTAACCCTGCATGAAAACCTTAGATCCTTTCTCATGGTGTCTTCCTGCCCATAAAGAAGGGCCTAGTGATAGAAAAGCATCCTCTGTTAATCCTAAATACAGGTAGTCCTTGATTTACAACAGTTCATTTAGTGACCATTCAAAGTTACAACAACACTGAAAAAGGGACTTTATGACCATTTTTCTCATTTATGACCATTGCAGCATCCCCGTTGCAGGTCACGTGATTTACATTCGGATGCTTGACATTTAACTCATATTTATGACGGTTGCAGTGTCTCGGAGTCACGTGATCCCCTTTTGTAACTTTCTGACAAGCAAAGTCAATAGGAAAACCTGATTCACTTAACCAAATGTGTTACTAATTTAAGAACTGCATTGATTCACTTAATAAATGTGGTGAGAAAAGTCATAGAATGGGGCAAAATTCACTTAACAAATTTCTCACTTAGCAACATAAATTTTGGGTTAAATTGTCATAGGTTGAGGACTATCTGTAT